TCATTCTTCAGCTGTTGGTCCCAATCCAACAGTTGCTCTTCTGAATTTCCAACTTTCCAAGCTCTCCAATTATAGTAGAGCTGCCAGAATTTGTTGTCAGCATCATCTGTATGAGGCTGAGATGAGGTTGGAAGGCTTTGGACTTGAGGAATTTCTTCTTCAAATTGTTGAGGGCTCCGGTTTTGAATAGAGGTTTCCTCAGCAGTTTCCTTCTCCTTCAACTCATCCGGATTGACATTTTCAGATGTTGATGAAGAGTTGATCTTTCTCTTCTACTTCCTTTGAAGTTCTCCATGGTCCGAGACTTCTTCTTCTTCTTCCAAACATACCAAGGCACGGTTCTGTGGTGCTTCAATGGAGGGAGAGGGGGACACCACTTGCTTTCTTTTGGCAGTCTTTGCCATATGGATGAGTAGGACATTATCTGATGAGCTATCTTCTACAGTGGCACTAGCACTGGCTCTGTTTTCTCCTTTGGAGGATAAGTAGTATAGCCAGTATCTTTCTCCATACTTCTTTCCTTTAGAAGCAATACCCATAGACTCCAAAATATGTCCAAGGTATAGTTCTTGACAAAGATATTTCTGGTTGGGCTTTCCCAAATGCTTTGAGATGGAATTGAAAAAGTGTGCAGCCCAGTTTACTTTAGTTTTGGTAATGAGAGCGTTGATGATGAAGGCTCTCTCCTGGGTGATGTCATCGGCATGACCTCCACTCCCACATTCGAGGCAGGCGATGACCAGTTCCAAAACCAACCTGTAATCGTTGTTTAGATCTGCTTTCTTCGCTGGGCCAGAGGGAGCTTGCTTAGAGATTCCAATGATGTTCCAGTCCAGATTTTTGATTGGAAATTTTCCAACTTCAACTCCAGAATTTGGAAGGCAAAGCTTTTCTCCCAATTTCTTTTGCGAAAGCTTCACCTTTGAGCCTCCAACAGTGGACTTGATGACTGGAAATGTCCTCTGTGGGTTTTTCTTTGACTGAGCAGATTTGATTTCTCCATTTCTGTAGAATTCAAGAACTTCTTCCTCGAATTTGAGGCGAATCTTCATTTGAAGAAATTCGGAGAGTTCTTGAGCGGCTATCATCTGCAGATAGCTTTGGAAGAATGTTGGGGATGAGCACTTGGCTTCTAACTTCTGAAAGTGGACATTTGCACCGACAACCTTCATTTTCTCAGGAATTTGGGTGAAAATTTGAGAAAGAGAGACCTAGGGTTTTTGCAAATTCTTGAGAATTTTTCACGAAGAAGATGACGAAGAATTTTTGAGTGGGCGGTTGAGATCTGAATAGTGGCGATTGGGTTTTAATGTGGGCGATTTATGCGGCTAGTGGCGATACTGTTCCCAAGGCCACGTTCCCACCCATCATTTTGACAGACGTGGAAAGTGAACTGCCACGTGCACTACATTCAGTCTAATTGAATTAGACCAATTTTGTGAAGCAAATCGGAAAACTTGGCTTCACTTAGTGGTTTGGTGAAGATATCCGCCAGTTGTTCTTCAGTTGAGATATACTCAATTTTGATATCTTTCTTTTCCACATGTTCTCTGATGAAGTGATGCTTGACATCAATGTGCTTAGTGCGAGAATGATGCACTGGGTTTTGAGAGATGGCTATGGCACTTTGATTGTCACAAAAGATTGTCACTTCCTTTGTTTTGACTCCATAGTCCAGTAGTTGTTGCTTTAGCCACAAAACTTGAGCACAACAACTACCAGCTGCAATGTACTCTGCTTCTGCTGTAGATGTAGAAATGGAGTTTTGTTTCTTACTGAACCAAGAAACAAGATTTCCACCAATGAATTGACAAGTACCAGATGTACTTTTCCGGTCAACTTTGCATCCGGCAAAGTCAGAATCTGAGTATCCCACTAACTCAAATGAATTGCTCTTAGCATACCACAAACCCATGTTCTGAGTTCCTTTGAGGTATCT